ACATAGATACATAGATACATAGATACATAGATATATATACATAGATACATAGATACATAGATACATAGATACATAGATACATAGATACATAGATACATAGATACATAGATACATAGATACATAGATACATAGATACATAGATACATAGATACATAGATACATATACATAGATACATAGATAGATAGATAGACAGATAGATAGTGTATGATCTTTTTTAAAATTAAATAGCATATTATCATATACAATTTTCACAATAATAAATATAGTTAAATAACAATTGTTATATACATGTTTATATAACAGCATATGATTTATATCCAACCTTGAAAACACAGACAGGCTGCTATTTGCAGTATTTGCAGTGTCTGACAACGCAGAAATGCTGCCATTTACAGTATCTGAAGCCTCTGAAAACACAGCAATGCTGCTATTTAGTGCCCTTCGTTGCAGCGTCTGAAAAACCCAGAAATGCTGCTACATACATTTTATGTCAGAAATGCTGCTACGTACAGTATTTGCAGCCAACGCAATGCAGAAATTCTGCTATTTACAGTATGTGAAGCTTCTGACTACGCAGAAATGCTGCTGTTTGCAGTATTGGAAGCCGCTGACAACACAGAAATGCTGCTATTTACAGTCTTGGAAGCTTCTGACAACGCAGAAATGCAGCTATTTACAGTATTTGAAGCCTCTGACAACGCAGAAATGCTGCTATTTACAGTATTGGTACAGAATTTGCAGCCTCTGACAACGCAGAAATGCTGCTATCTACAGTATTTGCAGCCTCTGACAACGCAGAAATGCTGCTATTTGCAGTATTTGAAGCCTCTGACAACGCAGAAATGATGCCATTTCAAGTATTTGAAGCCTCTGACAACGCAGAAATGCTGCTATTTACAGTATTTGCAGCCTCTCTAAACGCAGAAATGCTGCTATTTACAGTATTTGCGAAGCCAAGCTGAGCCACACCGTTTAAAAAAAGCGTCCGAGCCACACCTTTAAAAAAAAAAAACCCTCCCGCCTGTAATTCGGGTTTAGGGTTTACGGTTTAGGGTTTAGGGTTTGGGGTTCAGGGCCTTTAAGGGCCTCTAAGGGCAATTAGAGTTGAAGGGGACGAGCCGTTCTCGACTCAACCTTCCGTCGTGGTTCATATATGGGGGTTTAGGGTTTAGGGCTCAGGGTTTAGGGTTTAGGGTTTGGGGTCCCATTTTCGTAAACCCCCATATAGGAGGGCTCCTGTTCGTTTTCTGTCGCGTTTCCGCGGAGGGCTTTTAGGGTACATGTAGGGCTCGAATTACCCAAATTCAATCCATGGTTAGGTTCTTGTTCGTAAGGGGGTTAGGGAGTTGGGGTGTAGGTGCAAGGGCGATTGTGTGCGCACGCGCGTGTACCCTGATTCACACCCTAAACCCCAAACACTAAACCTATACCCTGCACCCTAAAGTCTCTAAACCCTGAAACCTTAACACTGTCCTGTGTTCAGGAATTCAACCGCACGACCGGTGCGTTCAAACGCACACTTTTTCATGGTCTCCCGGATGCTCCGGAGAAACTTGGCCCACAGACTGTAATCCCCCACCCCCCAATATTAAACCCTCCCCCCCTCCCCCTAATATTAAATACCCCCCATTATATATTTAAATTTGAGTGAGGGGGGGTTTTATGTTTCGGTTAGAGGGGATTAGTTTGGGGTTAGGGGTTTAGGGTTCAGCGGTTCAGGTTTTAGGGGGCCAAGACCGTGATAGGCACATTTACACACACAGAAGGGCCTGTCATGGGAGCCCACTTTTCTGTAGTTTTACTGTCTCTTTGTGTTCTGACGCACATATATGTACATATCACACATATATGTACAGATTTATCTGTATCTGCTTCGGCATCTGCATCTGTATCTGGATCTATAGCTATCTCTTTCTCTATACCTTTTTCTCTATCTAAGACATCTGTACAGGGGAGAAGGGTTTGGGGTTAGGTAGTAGGGTTTAGGGTTTAGGGTTGAGGGGTGCTGTTCCTTATCGGCGTTGTAGTCGAGTTGTTGCACAAGAAGGGCCCTTGTCTCCCCCATGTTCTGGCCTCTGGAAACTCCAGAAGCTGTGTGAGTCCTATATCTGTAATCAAACCCTAAACCCTAAACCCTAAACCCTAAGACAGGGCTTATTTCACAGAGGTCCGAAAGCCTTCCGCCACAGGGGTACTCCAAAACCCCTACTACAGTAGTAGGTCTTCGAGTATCATTAATTATTGGCGCAAATTGTAAACAATCAAATGAAATTGAAAATATTAAAAAAAATAAAAAATAAATATAAAATTAAAAAAATAAATCTTCAAAATTACCATATTCAAAAATATATCTTAAAATATCATAATTCAATATACTCCATTTATGTTGTTTTTTTGAATAAATAATGTGTGATAATATTGGTGATATTTCTTGGGGGAGGTGGAGGCTTGACTTGGCAGTATATACTTGGGGTTTAGGGTTTAGGGTTTCGGGTTTAGGGTTTTAGAGTTTAGAGTTTAGGGTTGAAGGTTTACGGTTTAGTGTTTAGGGTGTAGGGGTACTTGGAGGTTCTAGGTACTTCTCACCCAGTTATAAGTGGCTGATGTGGCTATAATTGGGCTATAGGTACAGTCACAAGTGGGTTAGCAAAAACCATGCTGGCTTTAGGGGTTGAGGGGTCTCGACCCAAGGGTAGCCGAGGAATAAAAGGGTGCCCTTTTTGGTTCAACTGGGTTTGTAAGGGAACCTAAAACCCTGATTGGGTTTGTAAATACCATGAACCTCCAAGTATGGGGGTTTCCAAAGTTATGGGTACACTGATGGTGTCCTTATCATAACGGAACCCTGCTATTTTTGGGGATCCGGGTTTGTATAGTTATAATTGGGATAGTAAATACCATGAACCTCCAAGTAGGCCTGGCAGCCCGACAGGCGTTTTTTTGGCAAGAGAGCGTTCTGGGGATCCGGGTTTGTGGCCGAAATGTGTTTGGGCTCTAGACCCTAAACCCTAAACCCTGAACCCTAAACCCTGAACCCTGAACCCCGAACCCCTGAACCCTGAAAACGCCAAGGAACATCATGCTTTCCCCCTGCTAGCTCCAGCTGGACTTGCCGGGGATGAGGCAGCGAAGCAACGCTTCGGACGCCCTGCGCTTGAGCTGCTGGAGTGCGTAATTCGTGGACCGGCACCTAAGGTGCAGAAAACTTAGGGTTTAGGGTTTAGGGTTCAGGGTTTACCCCAAATTCCTATCCCCCAAAAAAGCCCTGACCCCGTAAAGTCTGCAAGCCTCGAAACACCATTGCCACAAGACTTCCCTCAGACCGAAGCCGGACCCGTCTGCCAACTACGAAGCTACAACCCTGAGCACCAAGCATTAAAGCCTATTCAAAACCCTAAACCCTAAACACTAAACCCTAAACCCTGAGCACCAAGCATTAAACCCTATTCAAACACGGAGCCCAGGTCAAATTTAGCTGGGCGGATGCTCTAACAAGGGCTCCAATTTAACCTGGCATTCGCAGGCAGGTGTGTACTAGGTAGGCCCTTGGGACATTTTATATTTTCCCCTATTGAGTTTAAGAGGATCGTATTCAGAATATTTTTTCAGAGGGTTTTAAGGGCCAGCCTAGTGTATGATGAGGTCTGTTGAGTTTTCAATGCGTCCAGACCTGAAATAAATCGAAAGCTGCGGGGCCTCTGCCTCGACATTCCAAGCACCCTGACAAGGACCCAGAGTGGGCCCTTATTTCCTAAACCCTAAACCCTAAACCCTGAACCCTAGTTCCTTTGGCTTAAGGTTTGGGTTCCCTTACAAGGTCCTGTACCCTTTTATTCCTTGGTTACTCTTGGGTCGAGCTGCTGAAACCTCTACAGCAACCCAGAAACCCAAACCTGTTTTTGAGCCCCTTCTCAGGGCAGTTAACCCTAAACCCGAAACCCTAAACCCTAAACCCTAAACCCTAAACGTCGGAACTTAGGGACTCCGGGTTCCCACAAAGTCCCACTGAGCTTCACCAAGCGGGTTTAGGGTTTAGGGTGTAGGGTTTTTTTGGGGGGGGGGGGGTCTAGGGGCTCCCCTGTAAACCCCTTTCAGCAAGACAGGGCATTCTTTTTAGTCGCAGGTTACTCTTGTCCCAGTTTAGGGTTTAGGGTTTAAGGGTTTAGGGTTTGGGGATACTTGGAGGTTCATGGTACTTATAACCCTAGTTAGAACTCTACTTATAAGCCCCCTAAGTCCCCTAAGTAGGTTATAGGTAGACTTCTGACTGTGGCTATAAGTACCCACGAACCTCCAAGTACTGGGCAACCTAGACAGTTGCGCGGCATGGCCTCTACCAATTAGCAAGTATTGGGTGCGGGGGCTTTTGGGACTTGGGACATACACTTTCCTAGCAGCTGAGGAGATAACCTTGAACCTTTACGGGTATACACAATCCTACCCTGATGGAAAGGTTAACCTTTTTTGAGCCAGGGTACTCAGCAACTAGGCCGTAACGCCCGACTTCTGGGAGTTACGAGGCGCCCGGGACCCTGGGAACAGCGGCTTCTCGTGGCAATGCGCAGCGCGCGCCGACTCTCAATCCAGATGAGCGAAGCTCGCGCATGCCAGACCCGACGTTACGTGGGGAAACCTGCCGCTCTCAGAGAAAAGGCTCTAAACCCCAAACCCTAAACCCCAAAACCCCAAACCCCAAACAAACCCTAAACCCTAAACCCTTAGGGGAATTTTTACTACAAGCCCTGATGGCCAGCCCAAGGACACTGAATGTTCAGAATCCTGGATTTTCCAGGCCCTGCCTCGAGCTACCTAGATCCGGGCGCTAAACTGTGAGGCTAGGATCTGTGAGTGGTTTCCCCCATATAAGCTACCTCTAATCATGGTTTCCCCAGATAATCTACCTTAAAAATCCTCAACCGAAAAAACATCATCAAACTCCAAACCCCTTAAAGTCAACTGCTCAGCCACAAAGTTTTCAGAGCCCCCAGACGATGCCAAGGCCCGTGTGGCCAGTGCGGCCACACCGTCTCACTCATCCTCGCCTCTCTTTTTCAGAGGCCAGCTCTTAGCTTTTGAGAGTCCAGGGTTTTTTGGCTTAGTACTGTAGGGATTTACGATGTTGCAAGTTCGTCCGACCCTAAACCCTAAACCCTGAACCCTAAACCCTAAACCCTAAACCCTAAACCCTAAACCCTAAACCCTAAACCCTAAACCCTAAACCCTAAACCGGGGTTTCGGCTTCGGCTCTCCAGTCGGGAGAGAGAGATAGAGCAGGCGCCTGCAGAAGTTGAAGACAGGAAGCCCGACGCCGTTCTTGTGCCCTAAACCCTAAACCCTAAACCCTAAACCCTAAAGCCGCTGCGAGCGACGCCAAGATCCCCGAATTGGCACCACAAGGTTTAGGGTTTAGGGTCTGGGGGTTTAGGGTTTAGGGAGTTTAGGAGAGCTTAAGGCTTAAGGGTTGCTTTGCAGGTGGTATAGCAGGGCTCCATTTAGGGTGTATAGATTCCAAAGCGGAAGAATCGCGCGGACGAAGCGCTTGCCCTAAAACTCCCCAATACCCTAAACCCCAAACCCCAAAACCCTGAGCCACTGTTTGTCTGCATCCGCGAGGCGGCGGCCGGAATTTGGAGGCTCGTGGTCTCGGTCGTCAAAAACTTTTGGTCCGGGTAAGTACAGGGTCTTTGTAGTTTAAGATTTTGGGGGGCGTTCGATGCTTTGGGGCCCTTTGTGGGTCCTCGTGTGGGATTCTCGTGTCCGGGGGCGGCGGCTTATTCCAAAGGGGGACCCCTAAGTACAAGTATTAGAAACTCCCAAGTAGGCCTTGCCTCATGACTGCCAAAGAGACATGGAAGGGCAAAGAAAGCTGCAGGCTCCACGATGCTGTGGACATTCCAGGAGCTTCTTGATCATTCCTGGGAGCGCCGAGCCGTGTTAGCGGGACGTACTTATCACGGGGCTGTTCATTACTCTGTGCATGCCTTCGATTAAACCCTGACTAGTTACAGTTTGGGCTGGAAGCGCAGGGCCTCAGTTATAGGATCCCTCTTGCCACCTGCCTGCTCCCTCCTCCACATTCCTCCTGCCCCAGGTTTAAGGGTTTAGGGTGTTTCCCCCTCCTTAATGAACGCAACCGTGGGGTGGGGGGGGGGGAGTGGGCTGAAGCGATCCTAGGGGGTCATGAGGGTTTGAGGGTTTGGTACTCGCCCTACTTAGGGTTTAGGGTTTAGGGTTTGCTGTGATAGGGCGTAGATGCTGAAGGGGTTAGGTTTCGGAACAAGCTCGAAAGCTTCGTGAGGTGCGAAGAGCAGCTTTGGCCCGATTGTGGAGGGCCATCTAACACTTTTCTCCCACCCCACGCCGTCCAAGGTGGCAAAGCCACCCAAACCTATTCCTTTTAGGGTTTAGGCCTAAACTCAGACAACAGTCCACTTCTAAAAACTTATTCAGTTTCCTGACGTTCGTTGGGTTCGCATCAGGGAGGGTTGCAGGAGGTGCCAGCAAGGTCTCGAAGGGCGGGGTCGGGCCAGGCACCCCTTCTGAAAGGGTCAGTGGTCCGGAGGAGAACGTGTTCCGGTACCGGGCCCATCGTGGGCGCTACCGACCCCCATGCTGTGGGAGGCGGGCGAGCGACCTGGGTCGGCTTGTGCCATCGAGGTCAAAGGGCTTAAGCGCCGCCCCCCAATGCAGGGGGCGGCCTAGGCCCTGAGTTTAGGGTTTCGGGTTTAGGGTTTAGGGCCATGTACCTGGAAGGGGCTCCAATATCCTGGCAATAGGGCCCAAGTATATACTAAAGATGTGCATGGACCTGTTGCGTAGGTTTAAGGTTTATAGGGGCCTGAGGGCGGGGCTGAGAGTTTATTTCGTGGTGTTTCGGTAGCTATCGTGAGGAGTAGTACATCTACACCCTAACACCCTAAACCCCTAAGACCCCCAACAGCCCAGTAAGCTCCAAACCCTCCAGTTGGCAACCCTAAACCCTAAACCCTAAACCCAAAACCCAAAACCCTAAACCCTAAACTCCTGCTCTTCGGTGCGCAGGCAAAACAGCACTGGATCGACCTGGCGAACGGCTACCCAAGCCGGGGCCGCAAAGCTTTGGAGCTTCAGGGCTTTGAGGGAAATGCTTCAAGCCTTACTCTAAACCCTAAACCCTAAACCCTAAGCCCTAAACCCTAAACCCTAAAGCTTAAAAGGGTCGAGTGTGCCTTCGACCCTGAAACTGCCGCGAAACCCCGGAAAGTTCAGGGCTGAGGAAGCTTAGGGTTGAGGGTTTAGGGTTTAGGGTGTAGGGTTTAGGGTTGAGGGTTTACGGTTTAGGGTTTAGGGTTTAGCACGGGCTCTGCAGGGCCGGCGCTAGTTCTGGCTTTTGGTGGTGAGGGTATGGGTTTAGGGTTTCGGGCTTTAGGGTTTAGGGGTGCATAGGGGCGTAGGGTCTAGGGGTTTAGGGGTTTGGGGTAGCCTCTGTGCAGCGGACGCTCTGGCGTCGCATGCACGCTTTAATCCGCGGCCACCCCACCCAAACCCCTTACGCCCTAACCCCCCCCCAAAACCGTAACCCCCAAGCCCTCAATCAGAGCTCAGCAGGTTCGACTCCCCACTTCCTCGACATCCACGGGCGCCTTCCCAACTCCCGGGCAGATGAGGCTCGAAGCCCTCAACCCTAAACCCTAAACCCTAAGCCCTTCTAGCTTTTGGGTTCCTCTTCCTTTTCGGTTCTTATGAGGGCCCAAGGCTTTTGTTGGGGTTGGGGTTTTCGGGGTTTGGGGGGTTTTGGGGTGTAGGGGCTTTGGGGTTTTGAAGTTTTGGGTTTTTGTGGTTTAAGGGTTTTGTGGTTTGGGGTATAGCTTTTTCTTCTTGGAGGGGGGTGGGGGTTGGGCGTACAGTTCTGTTCAACAGATGCAGTTTTGGGCTCAGAGTAGATCTTCAGCTTTCTACCCCAGACCCTCAACCTGCTGAAGCGAGCAAACCTGAATTTCGCTCTCCCCCCAAGAAAATAGAGGTCACGCTCAGGGCGACTGCTGTCACAGGTGTCCTGGTTTCAGGCCTCCCGTACGAACCACCCTGTGCTGTACCCGCCCCCCCCCCCCCCCCCTTTCCCCAGCCACCCACTAACTGGGAGCGCAATTTCCAAAACCGTCACTACTGTACCCGGTGCAGGCAATTCCCGACATAGGTTTATGAGAGCCGAGTTTAGGGTACGTGAGAAACTAGACCTATCATCCAGGACCCTAAACCCTAAATCCTAAACCCTCAACCCTCAACCCCTACACCAACCTGGCGCTTGGACGCAATCGAAGGCACCGCTTGGGCTTCAGGGCTTCGGCTTGTCTGCGCCCATCGCTGCCTTGGACGAGGAGGCGCCTTTCACTTGGCGTTTGGGGGTTAATGTTGGACTCGCTTTAGCGTCCAAACAATTTTGGGGTTTTCGCGCGTGTCCTCTATAAGCTGGGTTGGGGTCTGGGGGTAGGGCGGGTAGGGGTCGAAGGTCGAGGCCTTGCGGCCTCAGGGTCTAAGCTTTCCAGGCTTTGTGGCTCCCTGGCCGGACTAATGCGGGTAACCGAAACAATTGACTAAAGCGAATCAGGGCAGCTCATGGGCTACTTGCTCACTTGCAAAATTGTTTGGGGGCCTGTTTCGTAATTAAACTTTAAAAGGAATTTAAATGAAGCCGGACACCAGAAAATTCCGGAGTTTCTTATTTAAAACTATTTCCTTTGTTTGGCTTCCCGGCCGCCCGTTCTTCATCCACGGGCCGCGAACTTCGCACAATTGCGGGTAACCGTCATCAACGGGGGGACTTCTAATATATTTTTCCGGAAAATCGCTTCATAGCGGCAATCTACACTGAAGCGGGTGCAACATTAGGGGTTTGGGGGTTTGGGGTTTAGGGTTTAGGGGTTGGGTTCAGGGGTTTAGGGGTTTAGGGGTTTAGGGGTTTAGGGGTTTGGGGGTTTGGGGGTCTGGGGGTTTGGGGGTTTGGGGGTTTGGGGTTTAGGGTTTAGGGTTTAGGGTTTAGGGTTTAGGGGGCCCTGGGGTTTAGGGGCTTAGGCTTTAGGGGTTTAGGGGTTCAGGGGTTTAGGGGTTTGGGGGTTTGGGGTTTAGGGTTTAAGGTTTAGGGGGCCCTAGGGTTTAGGGACTTAGGCTTTAGGGGTTTAGGGGTCTAGGGGTTTTGGGGTCTAGGGGTCTAGGGGTCTAGGGGTCTAGGGGTTTTGGGGTTTAGGGGTATAGGGGTTTTGGAGTTTAGTTTCGGCGTTTCGGGTTCAGCATCTCAAGTCCAAGCCTTCAACTTATCGAGCGTTGGAAAACACCCACCCGCCCCAAGAGTCCCATCCGATTTAGAAACTAGAAAGTTCGCTCAATCCATAAACCCGAGGCTCCATACCCTGGAGCCCAAACACTGTCCCAAACCCTAAGGCCCCAAATTCTGGAGCCCTACGCCTCAAAACCCTCGGCCCTAAACCCCATGCACACTTTGGGTCTAGATTGTACCCAAAGAGCTCAATTTTCCTTAATGGAGGAATATACCTTGAATTATGGAGGCATCCCCAAAACATGATATCCCCCACAAAGCGCTGGGACATTTCAAGCACCCCCGCACACCATTTCCCCAGAGTTCAGCAGTCCAACACATGCAACAATTAAGTTCCTAAACCCGAAGCCCTTAGCCCTAAGCCCTATAACACCCCAACCCCCGCAACCCCCCCAACCCTCCTGAACCCTCCTTAACCCCCCTTAACCCCCCTTAACTCCCCTTAACCCCCCTTAACCCCCCCCCCCCCCCCCCCCCAACAGCTGTGCGCCACCCCTCGAAGCCCGAAGCGCGACATTATAGGACTGGCCACCAAATCCCTACAGGCCGGTCTGAGTGTGTCCTTGTGGGGGGGGGGACCCTAAACCCTAAACCCTAAACCCTAAACCCTAAACCCTAAGCCCTAAACCCTAAACCCTAAACCCTAAACCCTATGGGATCAGAAATTGGACTTGGGGATTGTTGTTGTTCTTGTTTGGGGGAATGGCTTTTTCTGGGTTGGGCTCTGATTTCTTAGATCTGCTTGGGCGAAGCAGGAACGCACAATGTGAAAGGGGCGGGGGGGGGGGGAACCCTAAACCCTAAACCTTAAACCCTAAACCCTAGACCCTAAACCGCTTTCCCCTGGCTTCGGGAATCACGATGGCGCCGGAGGGCTGACTGCCTGTGCTCAGACTCTAAACCCGAAACCCTAAGCACCAAAAGCCCCGAAGTCCTCCAACCCACAATCCGCCCAAGGCGCCCAGTACCCCTTACTTACGGAATATGCCTTAAATGGTAAGAGGATCTTGCCTTTGCTTTACAAACAGAATCCTTAAATAGGGGGGTTGGCATCTTTGGGTTTATAGGCCTGGTATGCCAGGTCTCGCTCAGCACCTTAAGTCAGTCCCCTTTTCGGTTCCTTTCTATGATAGCCGCTCAGCACCTTATGTCAGTCCCCTTGTCGGTTCCTTTCTATGATAGACCTCATGGTGCCTTGATATTATCTGGTCATTTTGTCCGATTGCACGATGGGTGTATTTCTGGAAGGACAAATGCACAAAACTCATTCCGGAAGACCTAGCCTATGGTGTAGGGTCTTTTGGGCTGAAGGTTCTCAAAGAACAGGATCCAAAAAAAACACTGCTGTAGAATTACCCCCCCCCCCCCCCCCGTTTGGTGAAGCATCGAACCCTTCTTGACGTGCTGCGACATGGGTTCAGGAATTTGGGGTTCCCTAAACCCTAAACCCTAAACCCTAAACCCTAAACCCTAAACCCTAAACCCTAAACCCTAAACCCTAAACCTTTGGGGGTCGTGAAGGCTCAGGATGCTCGCAGGATGCCGCACAGAAGGGAAAGCTAGCCTTCCATGCGTCGTTCACATGCATCCTAGGAAGGTTGTTGGGATATTTTGCATGTTCCCTGATTGGGTTTAAGAGGATCACATGTAGGAATATTCCCAAAGAGCCCCAAGACCCCTTAATTAAGGCATATTCCTTACACCGTAGTAAAGGATCCCTTTATAACTTAAGGTATATTCCTTAGTTAAGTTTTTTTTTGTTAAGGCTCTCTGGCTGGGTTCTTCAGAGGGTTTTAAAACGGGCCATCCTATCATCCCCTCAAGACTCACCGGAAGCTGGGCAGTGCTGGTGCGTCCATCTTCCCAAAAGAGCCGAAGACCGTTGCAAGATAAGGTACCCCGAAGTTATATGTGGTTTAAGGTATATAATGTATATACCCTAGCTTATCTATGATTTTAGGATATATATATATATATATACTGTATATACCCTAGCTTATCTATGATTTTAGGATATAGAGTTAGAGGGTGTTCCAGCCATGTATCGCGCCTTTCGCGCCCACTTGGTCGCCTTTGGGGGCAGTGATGCGCAGGCACCTGGAGTAGAAGAGCCTCCAGACCTGTGTCTTACCTAGTCTTGGCAGCCCAGTGGTACCCTTTACGCTTGTTTGGTTCTGGATTCCCTTATAAAGTAACCAGCCAAAAAAGGGGGACCCTTATTCCAATATGGTAGCGGGGCTACTAAGTTGAAACTCAACAGAAACGAAGCATTGTTCATCAGGTGTCAAGTCAGGATAACAGGAACACGCCAAGCACAGATTGCTGCACCTGACACACCAAGCAACGACATCAACAACCTCTTGAAGTTGGGGCACGGTGCATAATATAGGGGCCGGAGTACTTTCCTATAACTTTTCCCCCAAAGTCAGTCTATAATTATGCTAAAATAGCCCCGAAACCCTATTCTAATTCTTATGGCCCCTATCATTGGCAGAGTCTCGCTCGGGGGAAGGCTATGCTTGGGGAGAGTCCTAAACCCTAAACCATAAACCCTAAACCCGAAAGTGTTCCTCGCGTCTTTCTGCGAATCGCATGCGCCTGTATGCTTTGCTTGTCTCCGAATGGAGTTCCTGAAACCCTGCGTAAGCCCTAAGTCCGCAACCCTAGGTTTTAGGGTTTTGGGTTTAGGGTTTAGGGTTTAGGGTTTAGGGTTGCCTCAGACCCCAAAAGACCTTGTAGCAATGAGGCAAAGAGATACTGTTGTTCTTCCATGGGGGGGGGGGGGGGGGGAACCCACATCCCGAACCAGCCTGAAGGCCTGTTTAAACCCTACAGCACAAAACCCCTGTAAACCCCCTTCTATACCCTTTAAGCCCAATACAGCCTATAAAGCCTCTAAATCCTCTAAACCCTAAACCCTATAACTCCTTTAAACCCTATGAACCCCCATAAGCCCCATAAACCCTGCAAACCCCAACATCCCTATATACCCTACAAACCCCAAACACTTGATACACCCTATAACTCCTACAAACCCATTCCAAAAAGAACAGTATACACACATATCTATATGTATATATATATATATATCCCTAAACCCTAAACCCTAAACCCTAAACCCTAAACCCTAAACCCTAAACCCTAAACCCTAAACCCTAAACCCTAAACCCTAAACCTAAAGTCTAAAGCAGCGCCTCCCTGAGGTGGTTGGGGAGCTCTTCCGGCTGCTGGATGCCGGCGCAGCGTCAGATTGGACGCACATCTGGGTTTGGGGGTTTAGGGTTTAGGGTTTAGGGTTTAGGGTTTAGGGTTTAGGGTTTAGGGTTTAGGGTTTAGGGTTTAGGGTTTAGGGTTTAGGGTTCAGGTTGTTTGCAAGAGTTTGGTTTATGTTTTGGCGTTTTAGAGGGCTTTGCTTTTCGGGTTTGGGCTTTGGGGGTGGTTAAGGTTTGTAGGGTTTTGGTTTTTAGGGTTTAGTTTGTTGTTTTGGGTCGGGGGAAGTTCCGGTTCCGGGTTCGCATACTCTTTGTTTTTGATTGGGGGCAGGGTGATCCTTTGTAAGGTTTAAATGGATATAAGGAGGGGACGCCTGGAAAGTGCCCTCATAATCGCATTCCATTAGTTAGCCCCGGTATTTACCCTACACAGTCCCTATACCCCTAAGTAGCCCCGAACCCTAAACCCGAAATCCTACTGAAACCGTAAACTCCGAACCCTATCAACCCTGCACACTCTATGAATCCTAAGCCCTAAAGGCCCTAAATCCTAAACCCCAAACCCCAAACCCTAAACCCTAACTCACCCGCAAGGCTCTTGCAAGCTTCGGGTTTTCGGTTTCAACCCCTCCTCTCGGGATTCGGTTGTGGGGCTTGGCGTTTAGGGTTTAGGGTTTAGGGTTTAGGGTTTAGGGTTTAGGGTTTAGGGTTTAGGGTTTAGGGTTTAGCAGTAGGCAGCACAAACCTACCCGAGGAGCCACGTGCGAGCGCTGCTGCAAGGCCTTCATCTTTTTGGAAGCCTACAGCTGGGGTTTCGGGTTTAGGGTTTTAGGTTTGGTGTTTAGGGTTCAGGGTTTAGGGTTTTAGGTTTGGTGTTTAGGGTTCAGGGTTTAGGATTTAGACGTTGGGGTTGAGGGTTGAGGGTGGAGGGTTTAGGCCTCAGGGATGTAAAAACTCTGCTAGGCCACGCAAATCCCCCTTCAAGGCCCGAAGCCCCAAATGCTGAGCCGGGACACTATACTTTACACCCTAAGCTCTCTAAACCCTCCGTGCCTCCGTAAGTGCGAACTTCCCCCAAACCTTATCAACCCCACATGCCCAAGTCCCAAGAAGCTGTAGATCTAGAAAGCCCTAAACCCTTGGTGCCCAGACCCTGAGCCCTACCAGCCCTAAGCCCTGTGGACGCTGAACCGCAAACCCTATAAACCCTACAAAACCCCTACGTGCGACAAATGCAGCAAGATGGTAAAGAACCCCCAAACCATAAACTCTAAAACCCCTAAACCCTAGAACCCTGAACCCTAGAAACCCACATTTTGTCGGTAAAATTCCGTTTAAGTTCCTCAACAGCAGCCAAGAGATCCAAATGCACAGACCCCAGTGTTTGGGGTCCTAAACGAGAATACCCTAAACCGCAATACCCGAATGCCCTAATGCCCTGCTAAGCCGAATACCCCAAACCTCTTAATACCCTAATATCCTGCTGCCCTAATAACAACTTATACCCTCATACCCAAATACCCTAATACCCGAATCCCCTAAAACCCCAAACCCCTTAATACCCCGTACCCTCATACCCGAATACCCTAATACCCGAACACCCCAAGCCGCAATACCCTAATACCGTAGTACCCTAAACCCTAAACCCTAAACCCTAAACCCTAAACCCAAAACCCATCCTAGTACCCTCATACCGTAAGACCCCAAACCTCTCAGACCCTAGGCCGGCCCACGCTGAGCTGGGCAAGGGACTGGCCAGAGACTCGCAGCGCCAGGGCCGTGACGGAGACTTTTTGGGGCATAAGGGCGACTAGGGTTTAGCGTTTTGGTTTAGGATTTATTAGGGCGACTAGGGTTTAGGGTGAAGGGTTTGGGGTGCAGGGTTTGGGGCTTCAGGGTTTTAGGGTTGAGGGTAGGCTCTTATGGGGTACTGTACGTTTTAGGTTCGAATACTCTAACCTCCTATATCTGAGCTACCGTTTCCAAGGGGCCCCCACTTCTCAACCAGGTGCAACATGCACGTTCGGGGTGCTTATCACCCAGTCATAGTTATAACTGTACTTATAACCCACTTATTCTTATAAGCCCCTTTAAGTGCTCTAATCTGGTCATAATTGTGCAAGCCCAGGTGATGCGCAGCTTCTCTGGGCGCACCCCAAGTCCCACGCCACAGGAGCAGCATCGTGCAGGGAGGGGAGACTCCGAATAGGGTTTAGGGTTTAGGGTTTAGGGTTTAGGGTTTAGGGTTTAGGGTTTAGGGTTTAGGGTTTAGGGTTTAGGGTTTAGGGTTTAGGGTTTAGGGTTTAGGGTTTAGGGTTTAGGGTTTAGCTTAAGGGCCCCCACCCCCAAGCACCAAACTCACATCTCGAGCATCCCACACTAATCTTTCAAACCCTAAAGCCCCCCCAAAATCCCTAAGCTCCCCCAAACCCCCGAAACCCTCAACCCCAAAGGCCCTAACCTCAAACTCTAAACCCTATAGGCCCTAACCCTAAACCCTATATAAGCCCTAAACCTCCTAAACCCCCTAAACCCCTAATGCCCTCCCAGGAGCCCCAGATCAGCAGACGCCACTCTCCTGTGTCCTGTCGGCCTCGCCTCGGCACCGCCTGGCGGCGATGCTCCAGAAGCCCCCAGGGCTACAAGGGTTTGGGGTTTAGGGTCTAGGGTCTAGGGTTTAGGGTTTAGGGTTTAGGGTTTAGGGTCTAGGGTTTAGGGTTTAGGGTTTAAGGTTTCGCTTAGCTGGCTGCGTGTGTGTTGGTTGGTGTAGTGGTGTAGAGGCAACACACACACACACACACCCACACACCCACACACGCACACACGCACACACGCACACACGCACACACGCACACACGCACACACGCACACACGCACACACGCACACACGCACACACGCACACACGCACACACGCACACACGCACCCACGCACACACGCACACACGCACACACGCACACACGCACACACGCACACACGCACACACGCACACACGCACACACTCACACACGCACACACGCACACACGCACACACGCACACACGCACACACGCACACACGCACACACGCACACACGCACACACGCACACACGCACACACGCACACACGCACACACGCACACACGCACACACGCACACCCGCACACACGCACACCACGCACACACGCACACCACGCACACACGCACAACACGCACACACACACACACGCACACACGCACAACTCACACGCACGCACGCACACACACACACACACACACACCACACACACACACACGCACACACACACACACCCCCACACACACACCCACTCACACACACACACACACACACACACACACACACACACACACACACACACACACACACACACACACACACACACACACACACACACACACACACACACACACACACACACACACACACACACACACACACCACACACACACACACACACACACACACACACACACACACACACACACACACACACACACACACACACACACACACACACACACACACACACGCAGCACGTGCGTGTCAGCCCCACCCCAGACCACCGGGTTCCTTGCAGTGGCTGGGGCGGTTAGTTGCATGTTCGTCAGATTCGGTGCAGTGGCCTTTGGTGTTGCCAGTGGCTGCCAGACTTGCATGACACGGAAGGGTTAGAGCTTTTTTTAAACAGGGTTTTAGGGTTTTGGGATTGTAGAGTTTTTGGGTTTTTGGGTTTGGGGTCCGAAGAGCCCCTATAGATCTGGAATATACCTAAAGCCAAATGCAGGATCCCTACTTGTCTGTTTAGGTCTATTCCTTAGCTAAGCGGCATTCAGAGCTCGCTGGGCAGCCCGCTGGAAGCTCATCAGTCACCACATGGCTTAGGGTTTCAAGGCTTTGGGGAGCTTTGCTGCATCCTCAGCCGTAGAATCAGACTTCAAGGGCCGGCCCCCCCCCCCCCCCCCCCTCGACCCTAAACCTTAAACCGAAAATCAAGACCCAACAAAACTGGGATGTTCCCCCTTGTACTAACATTCCTTAATAGGGATGATACTAGGGGTACTATAATCCCTTTTAAGGACTGTTGGTATCAGGGGGAACATCCCAACCCACAAGCCCTCAACGCCCTCCATCGGTCAGAGAGGTGGGGCCTCACCGACACCGCATCGAAAGGAGGCCCAGAGGCCACGCTCCAGAAGGCCGTGGGATGGCTCTGGCTTTAGAATTTGTTTTGGGTTTAGGGTTTAGGGTTTAGGGTTTAGGGTTTAGGGTTTAGGGTTTAGGGTTTAGGGTTTAGGGCATAGGGTTTAGGGTCTAGGGTCTAGGGTTTAGGGTCTAGGATCTAGGGTCTAGGGTCTAGGGTCTAGGGTTTAGGGTTTAGGATTATGCTTTGAGGGCTTTTGTCAAGGGAAGGGGGTCTCAGGGGCGGGGGGGGAGGGGTGGGTTAGGTAGTCCTACCTGGAGGCTCATGGTACTTACTAACCAATTATAACTGTTCTTCTAACTGTACTTAGACCCAGAATAGGGCACTTCAGGTGGGTTCTAGGTACAGTTAGAATTGGGTCCCGAAGATTCCATGGTGCTCCCTTGAAGGAGCACAAACACTGTGAACCAAGGAAGCCTAACAGCCCTAAACCCTAAACCCTAAACCCTAAACCCCGGCGGTCTTTTCCAGAGGCTGCGCGCAAGTTCCTGGCGCTGCCCAGCTCCTCCCTTGGCGGCCTCACGGCTCGGAAGGTCAAAGAGGCGGGCTTTGCTGTGAGGTTTGGGAGTTTATAGGGTTTAGGTTTGGGGTTTAGGGGTTTTAATTAGGGGGTTAGGTTTTAATTGGGGGGTTTGTAGGGTTTAGGTTTTGGGTTTAGGGTTTAGGGGTGTTAGGGGCTTTTTGGGTGTTTAGGGGTTTATAGGGTTTGGGAGTCTTTAAGCTGTCCTCTCCTAAAGGGAACAGCCTCCCCCAAGCCGGCGCCGGAAAACCCCAAACCACAGGCCCTTCCAGCCTTGACAGGTGGGGTGGACCCAAAAACCCTAAACCCTAAACCCTAAGCCCTAAACCCTAAACCCTATTGTGGGCCGCTTCGGTGTGCCCCTGATCAAACCAAGCTCTACGCTACAAGAAGCCCCCAGAAGAGCCCCATGTTGGGATTGGGAACAAAGGGCAGGTATTTGGAGGCCTTAGTTTGGTCAGTATGGGTTTAGGGATTATGGTTTAGGGTTTGGGGTTTGGGGTTTGGGTCAAAGGCTTTGCAAAAAAGCCAGCATGTGAAGAAAAATACGATTGACTTCTCCTGACCCACCTCGCTTCCTTGGAGTTTCACTAAGCCCTAAACCCTGAACCCTGAGTCCGAAGCCCTAATCCCCTAAACTATTTTCGGAACCCCCCCCCCCCCATCGCATGACATAGCGCAGTGGCTGGAGGCGGGTCCCTTTAAAGCCCTAAAGCCCTCAAAACCCTGAACCCTAAAACCCTAAAACCCTAAAACCCTAAAACCCTAAAACCCTAAAACCCTAAAACCCTAAAACCCTAAAACCCTAAAACCCTAAACCCTATAGACCCTAAACCCTAAACCCTAACCCTAAACCCTAAACCCTAACCCTAAACCCTTAGTGGCTGCAGGCAGGTCCTCAGGGCCAGCCCGGGGATGCCGCGCGTGGGGCCGCGGCCGAGTGGCGCCGGGCAGCCGCAGATCCCCGGGCTTAGGGTTTTTGGGGGTTCAGGGTTTAGGGTTTAGGGTTTAAGGTTCAGGGTTCAGGGTTTAGGTTGTTTGGGGGCTTTAGGGGGCTTCGGGGTTTAGGGTTTTAGGGATTGGGGGTTGAGGGTTTAGGATTTGGGGTTCAGGGTTTAGGGTTTGGGGTTTTGGGTTTAGGGCCTTAGGGTTTTGGGCTTTAGGGTTTTGGGTTTAGGAATTTTTGGGCCTTAGGGTTTTTGGGCTTCGGGGTTAGGGGTTTGGGGTTTAGGGTTTGGGGTGTTGGGTTTAGGGTTTGGGGGTTCCGGTTTGTTAGGGTTTTTGGGGTTTGGGGTGTGGAGTTTTGGTTTTGGGTTTTGGTTGGTGGGGTTTAGGGTTTGGGGTTTGGGATTTGGGGTTGGGGGTTTAGGGTCTAGGGTTTGTGAATTGGGGCTTGGGGTTGAGGTCTACGGTGTCTGGGGTTTTGTAGGGTTTGGGGTTTGAGGGTTAGGGCCCCCACACCCACCCAAACCCTAGTTGCTAAGCTCACAGCTTGGTGATAGCCAGGATGTCCAAATGCTCGCTGCTTATGGTGCCCTAAACCCTAAACCCTAAACCCTAACCCCTAAACCCTAAACCCTAACCCCCCCGTAAGGATCTATGTACACAGTAGATACTTGGGCTTTACAGGGGTTTCCTACCTGATCACATGGTGGTGTCCGAAATTGGGGATACCTGATCGGGGTCCATTCCTACTCTTTTGGGGGTTCTATTTTAGGGTCCCCTATTTTCGTAAACCCCCATATGGTAGCTAGTAGGGCCCAACCCTAAACCCCAAACCCCAAACCCTAAACCCTAAACCCTAAAATGTATAGGCACGCAAATCCTCAGGGTTCCGGATGTTCTAACAGCGGCACTCAGGACGTGCTGCTGTCCTCTCCGGCAGCGCAGAGCCTGGCAACTCGAATGGAACGATGTACGTACTTGGAGGTTCATGGTACTTAGTGTTTAGGGTTTGGGGTTTAGGGTCCAGGGTTTAGGGTTTAGGATTTATGGTTTAGGGTTATAGGGTTTAGGGATATTACCCAGTCATAGCTGCACTTATAGAGCACTTATAAGCCCCTTAGGTGCCCAAAAACGTGGTTATATGTGGGTTATAAGTGCAGTTACTATGGGGTTAGTGCTTACCATGAACCTCCATGTAAAGCAGATATTCGATGAAGCACAAGATCCCCCAATGTGCGACCCCCCCCCCCCCCCCCCCCCACCCCCACCCCCCCCCACCCCCCCCACACACCCCCCCCCCCCCCCACAACCCCCCCCCCCCCCCCCCCCACCCCCCCCACCCCCCCCCCCCCCCCCCCCCCCCCCACCCCCCCCCACCCCCCCCCACCCCCCCCACCCCCCCCCCCCCCCCCCCCCACCCCCCCCCCCCCCCACCCCCCCCCCCCCCCCCCCCCCCCCCCCCCCCCCCCCCCCCCCCCCCCCCCCCCCAAATTCCTAAACCCTTCGAAGCGCAGCGTATGGCGTAGAAAAGCGTGGGAAGTCCTCGCAGCCCTTGGCCCTGAAGCCTGGTTTAGGGTATAGGGTTTAGGGTTTAGTAAGCAGACCTTGCAAGGGTTCGGGCTGAACTCAGACATCCCTCTACAAGCCCTATAGCCTTCCAAACATCCGGGCGTGAGTCTTCCGGACCCGCGAGAAGTTTCAGGAACCCCCCAAAGCTGGAAGCCCACTTTAGGGTTTAGGGCTGAATAAGATTTCTCGAATCCCACCCACGGCTCAGGTTGCAAGCCAAGACTCGTGTGGGCGAACGGCACTGCACCACGCTGCGGGTGCTGGCGACGCACACATGGTGGAGGCGTCTGTGCAACATGCGTAGGGCTTGTAAAGCGTTCGGGCGTTGATAAGCTAGACCAAAAACGGTCATGAGTTCCCTAAACCCTAAACCCCAAACCCTAGACCCTACAGCTAGGGATCGGCTTCTGCGTCTCATTAGGGCTGATAAGGGCTACCTGGCCATCTTATAACAGTCGGGCCGGCCCAAGCACGGGAATGGAGGACCTAAAAAGGACCCTGCCCTGAAGTTTGTTGTGAGTCATAGGGGGTGGAGGGCAAGAGAGTTATGACTATAGCGCAGGCGCAGGCTTGTACTTTGAAATCCGGGCAAATGTTCCCTAAGATTCCCTGCAATTCCGGCAAAGGACATAAAGCAGCATAGCCTTTCCTTGAGGATTTGTGGTGCCTTGGGTTCTTAGTTGGCTTCGTCGCCCTCCTTTCGAAGCAGCCTGTCGCCTCGCTTCCTTCCTCCGGCCACCTCTCCCCTTCGCCACCTTCGTTTTCAGCACCATCATATTTTTTTATGGGTTTTTGTGGGTTAGGGGTGGGTGGGGGAGAGGGGCCAGGGTCATGCCAGACCTTGTTTTGGCTGTTGCTTTTGGGCTTAGGGCTTAGGGTTTAGGGTTTAGGGTTTATGCCTTGAGTGCACACAGGGGCAGGCGGGTGGGGGGTTGTGGGATGGGGGGGGTGGGGGCGTGGTTTTTTAGGGTGCTGTTGATGTCGTGGGACTGAACAGCCCCCTGCATGGCGGTGGGGGGGAGGGGGGAGGGGGCCGGTGGGGTTGAGATGCCCAAAAATCAGCCCTCAACCCTACACCCCGACAATGAGACCTCGCCATATGTGCAGAGGTGCTTCTGAGCAATGGGGCTGACAAGGATGTGAAGGACGGGTTGGAGGGGTAGGGCCCTAAACCCAAACCCCAAACCCTAAAGGCCCTAAACCTCGAACCTTAAACTCTACACCCTAATACCTATAAACCCTTAACCTAAACTACCCAAACCCTACCTTCAATCTTTGGGCTCCCAGAAGCCCCTTTGGCCTCCCCCCCAGTCCCACAAAGACACCCCCCCGGCCCCCCACAAAGATGCCGAATATCCCCCTTGATTCAGGAACATGCCTTATGATCCTATTAAGGATCCGTAATGAAAAAAACATCGGGTGTATTTCTTACTTAAGGTGTATCGGGTCTTTGCAACCCCAGCTCAGCGGAGAGTTCTCGCCGTAGGTTTGCCAAGGCCCATCTATTTTTCGGTAGGGTGTGAAGGAGTTGGGGAGTAGGGTTTAGGGTTTAGGGTTTTAAGGTTTGGGGTTTAGGGTTGGATGGGGTTTAGGATATCAGGGGATGCAAACTGGCACCAAGGTTGCACCCCCTACGAAAGGGCCCCCCCCCCCCCTCTCGCCCCCTGCGTTCCCTGAGGGTTAGCTTCTTTGCAGAGGACTTATACAACCCTAAACCCTAAACCCTAAACCCTAAACCCTAAACCCGAAACCCTAAACCCTAAACCCTAAACCCTAAACCCTAAACCCTAAACCCTAAACCCTAAACCCTAAACCCAAATTCAGGGCCCATACTGATGCATACAGAGGGGGACCCCAGACCCGAACCTCCCAAAGCAGGACCGGCATGGTCGCACAGCAGCGCACGTAGCGCCTCGGAGTCTACCCTCAGCCCTACAGGGTTTGGGGTTTCGGGTTTGGGGTTTAGGGTTTAGGGTTTAGGGTTTAGGGTTTGGGGAGGGTTTGGGGTTTAGGGTTTGGGGTTTGAGGGTTGGGTTTAGGGTCTCGGGCTAAGTGCCGACGATGGCAGAATGTTGAAGAAATTGAAGGGGCTGATCTCCCAATACTGATTAAGACTTAGCCCTAATCCCCAAGCCAATTTTTTCAGGGACGCGGAATGCTTGCTGGTGCTTGGGGCTTCTGAAGAAAGAGCCCGCGATGACTTTTGAGGAAAGCTGGTGGCTCACAGCAGACTTCAAAACCTCAACACTGAAGCCATTCAAATGGGCAGCCGTAAACCCTAACCCCTCCACCCCTAAAACCCTAGACCCTAAACCCCTGATAAGTACAGTTATAATTGGGTTAGTAAGTACCATGAACCTCCAAGTACACACCCAAGCCCCAAACCTCAAATTCAGAAGAACACGCGCCCAGGCCGCTGCCCGGCGTCACCGCGACTGGGTTGTGCGTTAAAGGATATTGGCAGAATTATATTAATATATATATATATATATATATATATTTGTATATATATATATGTGAATATACATCTAAATAGAAATATGTGTACATATTTTCTCTGTGCTTTGAAAGAAAGGTTTATTATCGGTTGAGTCAGTTTAGGTTTCTGTGGGGTGTGGTAAGGGTTGAACATGTAAGCGGCGTCCCCGTTACGGTTGACGGTTTGGATGGTTTGGCACTGAATGAATGCGCTTTCATGACAACGAGCGGGGTTGCTCTAAATTAGGGTCCCTTGTGCGGGAACCTTTATGAAGAATTTTCGAGTGAAATATGGAGAGGTATCAAGAAGCAGACCACACCCCCCCCCCCCCCCCCCACCAGTGTCAGTGCTTTCGCGGGGCTCGTATTTCCATACGCTTAACGCAAAGCACAGTTGAGAGGTTTTTTCATTTCATAGAAAATCTTGTAGGAACCCTAAACCCTAAACCCTAATCCCTAAACCGCGGCTCAGTCGCTTTATGCTGTTCCAGACTAGCAGGTGAGGTGGCCACGCAGCTCGCGGAATCCAAGAAGGAGGCGGCGACAAAACTTTCGTCCCTTTGTGACATGGTGATGTTTTTGTAGTAAAATTAATCATTAATATGCATATCTCTCTCTCTATGTGTATATATTCGTATCTTATTAATATACGATTATGTAAGATTGTATGTTAGTTTGTTATAATACTATACGATCATCTTTTTCTTATTCTTCGTATCATACTACCAACCCTGATTCCTAAATCAAAACCCAATGCCTGAACCTGGCGGGTGGACATATCTCGGTGTTTACGGTGAAGGGTTGCTGCCTTCGGGTTTTCGTTGTCCTGTTTATGCATCCATGCACATGTCAGAATATCGGGAACCTTCTTTCCAAAAACCCAGCCAGGAACCAGTAAGAGATGTTGACCCCGCCGCTTCATCCAGGGTGCCTTTCGCCTAGGACCCTAGGACCCATGTAGCCCCGAAACCCCTGAACCGCCAAGCCTAAACCTTAAACCCTAAACCCTAAACCCCTTAAGCCAGGCCCAAGACCCCGACACTTTCGGGCACACGGTGGAAAGCATCCTCCGAGCGCCCTTCCTGTGGATCCAGAGATTCGGATTCAGGGTTTGGTGTTTTTGTGTGTGAGTGGGTTTGGGGTTTAGGATTCAGAGTTTGGGGTTTTGGGTGGGTTTGGGGTTTTTTTGGTGTTTTGAGGGGGGTTTAGGTTTCGGGGTGTTCAAGGCTGCGCTAAGCCCTTAAACCTAGCGAATCCTCTGGGGGCTAGGGGCATTAGGGAAGTTTGGGTCAGTGCAGGCTTCAGTAGAGTATTCCAGAGGCCCCAGCACCTGGACCGCAGATCCTAACCTAGCGGATCTTTGCCGAGTGCTCTGAGGGCTTGGGATGCAGCAGGGCATGATCTAAACCCTAAACCCTAAACTCTAAACCCTAAACCCTAAACCCATAAAGGGACCATAGGGGATCCTAAGTCTGGCCTCAAGTTCGCAGACTTCAAAAGGAGCAGATGCGCTCCGACGTGCCCACGATCCAGTCTGAGCAGCTCAGCCTCGAGAGCGAGGCGTTCTTGCGCCAGTCTCTTGGGTTTCTTCTGGCCCTACACCCTAAACCCTAAACCCTAAACCCTAAAGGGCTCTTAGCACTTTAACCTTTTGGGTTTTTGTAGAAATTACAATAAGGAGCCTAGAAGTTAAACTTGTAGGAGGGGTTCAGCCAAGGTATGTCTCAGTGAACCAGCCTGTGCTGATTCTCGGCTGCGGGGCTTGGTGCTTTTTGGGTGGGGGTAAGTTTAGGGTTTAGGGTTTCGGGCTTTAGGGTTTAGGGCCAAAGCTGGCTCCTACCCTTGAGACAAAGGCACTGGGGGGGGGGGGTTCAAGATTTCCGGCTTTTGAATGTCTTCTTTTTCGAGACAGTTGCAGGCGAGCACCTTCCAAAAAGCAGGGTTCGCGTTTTATAGGGCATAGGGGGATCCATTGCACAAGTTGCCTAATCATAAGAGACATGGCCTTATGGCAACGTTTCCTTCTATTCAAGAGCGTCTGTTGGCAACTCCGAATCAAAGTCCCTTCGCCTACCCGAAGCAGGAGGGCCCACATTGAAAGAACTACCCCAAAAGGAACCCTTTTTTCGGGAACCTCAACCCCAAACCCCAAAACCCTTGTAACTCTGAACCCTGAACCTCGTAAAGCCCTAAACCCCCTAAACCCCCCAAACCCTAAACCCTAAACCCCAAGCCCTAAGCCCTAAACCCTAAACCCTAAACCCTAGACCGAGCTGAGGATCAAAGGAGGCGCTTGGCACATGGAGGCCAGACCTCAAAAAAGCCAGACGAGATTCCAGGATGCCCTGGCCGTACCCGAGGGTGTGAGGGTTTGGGGCTTAGGGTTTCTTAGGGAATGGGTAGGAAACCTTTAACCTTTTTGGTTAGTATATATATATATAGAGAGAGAGATAGATTTATATATTTCTTTGTTTATTTATTTGTTTATATATATATATACATATAAGGTTAATTTTGGGCTAGGGTGTTCAGCCCCTAAGGTTTTTATTGTTTCGGGATTTACCAGTGTACCTTCACAAAAAAGGTTAGATTTTCCAATAATTTTAAGGTGCCGTTTCGTTTTTTGGGCTTTTCAAGGTTATTCCAGGTAGCGCTCGCACTCCCTTCCTGAGGGTTTCGGTCTCAAGCGTTTTGGGGTTCACGGGTTTAGGGTTTATTTAGGGCCCTTAGGGTTGATGGTTTATGGTGAGTAGTATCCGACACTGCGGGTTTTGGGGTTCAAGCGTTTGGGGGTCTAGATATTTATTGCTGCTTGGGCTTGTGGGGCTTGGTGGGTGGATCGCTCAGTAGCATCATTCCTCCCAAACCCCAGACCCTAAACCCTACGCCCGAAACCCTGAACCCTAAACCCCAAACCCTAACCCCCAAACTTTCCGTAAACCTAAGCCCCAAACCCTAAACCCTAAATCCTAAACCCTAAACCCTAATCACAGGCAATGTCTTGGTCTGACTACCGCTTTTTGGAGTCTGCCCTTGGCAGAGAAGTGGTGCAGGCGGCCCCCGTACCCTATGCGACCTGGTAGCTTCTGGTGTTCAGCGCGACTTTCTTCGGGTAAGGGTTTTTAGGGTTTAGGGTTCAGGGTTTAGGGTTTAGGGTTTAACAGGTTAGGGTTTAGGATTTAGGGTGTTGGGTTTTGGGGTTTTGGGTTTAGCGACTTTTTGCTATTGAAGCTGCTTCTTTGCGTCACCGCACCACATGATCCCGGAACCCCCCAAGGCTTCAGATCCCAAAGGCTGCCCAAGACAGCTCTGAACCATACCCCCAAAGCCTGGAAACCCTAAACCCTAAACCCTAAACCCCATACCCCAAACCCTAAACCCTAAACCCTAAACCGTCTCCTGAGGCCAAGAACATGGGCTTACCCGGTGCCGTTGAGGGGACGCTGTCCGAGATGCTGAAGTCACCCAAGGTATCATGGGTTCCCCTACTACCCCCCCTCTATACTACCCCCCCCCCCCCCGCTAAATAACCTTGATTAAGCTTAATTATCCCTAAACAGTCTTAATTATGGTAAACCCTAAACCCTAAACCCTAAACCCTAAACCCTAAACCCTAAACCCTAAACACCCTAAACCCCCTAAACACCCTAAACACCCTAAACACCCTAAACCCTAAAAACCCTAAACCCTAAAAACCCTAAACCCTAAACCCTAAACCCTTAACCCTAGCGGGGGTAGTATAGAAGGGGGTAGTAGGGGAACCCATGCAGGTATGGCGCGCCGAAGACGCGAGCTCAAGCGATCCGGAGAGCCCGCCTCTGCATCCTCGGCCAGTGTTGATGGGCCAGGGAAGCGGGGTTGGTTTGGGGTTTAGGGTTTAGGGTTTTTAGGGTTTAGGGTTTTTAGGGTTTAGGGTTTAGGCTTTAGGGTTTAGGGTTTAGGGTTTAGGGTTTAGGGTTTGGGTGTTCCAGGCTTCGTGACTTTTGGGGTTCCAGTGCAGAATGTCGGGCTTACATCCGGGGACGTAATATCGAGAATCTGCCGCTCTTCCCTACAGCCAGCTGAAGAGCACAGACGCCCCCAAACCCTAAACCCTAAGCCCTATACATCGGGATGTTCTCCCTGATAATTACTAACAATCCTTAGTAAAGGGTTTAGGGTTTAGGGTTTAGGGTTTAGGATTATAATTAGGGGTTCTTTTCATTCCCGAGTTTTTTTGGGACTGCTAGTATAAGGGGTAACATCCCAACCGATGCACGGCAAGCTGATGTCCCAGGTACGTCTTTGATGCCACTGTCCTTCGCCGCCGGAGGGATCTGATGAAGGCTTCCGCGCCACTGCGGCAGGTCTTCATGGACCCTGGGACCTTATTCGGTTTAGGGTTTAGGGTTTAGGGTTTAGGGTTTAGGGTTTAGGGTTTAGGGTTTAGGGTTTAAACCTTCAACCCTAAACCCTTCGCCTTCATCCCCTCCCACTTCACATCTAAAATAAGACACCAGTCGGTGTCAGTATCGCGGTTCTCTCCCTGGCATTCCTGCAACGGTCGGGCTGAACCCCTCTCACCCAAACCGGCTGAAGCCATGGTAGCTACCCTGGAGTTGCTATCATCAGACGCCAGCTAGAGGCCGTCAGAGCGCCAGCGGTACCTCTCGAGCCGCCAGGAAATGCTCACCCTGCTACTACAGACTCACGCTCTGCGCAACTACACTCCATAGTATCTGCTAACGCTCTACAGCCCGAAGCCTCAATCCTAAAACCCCAAAAAGCCATAAACCCTGATCAAGCAAAGCGCAAGCAAGAAGGAGGATAGGGGTAGAGAGTCCCTTTGAAGGTTCAGGGTTTAGGGATTAGGATTTAAGCGGCAAACTCTACTCCAACGAGAAAACCCATTTGAGCCCCCCCCCCCCCCCTATCCATTATGATCTCAAAAGCTCCTCGACAGGACCCTCAACCCGAAGCCGCCGACGAGATCCCAACAACTCCCAACAAATCTCCCCCCCTTCTAAACCCAAGACCCTAAACCTTACATACACCCGAACCCCTAGCACCCGAAACCCAAACCCTACACCCTCAACCCCAAACCCCAAACCCCAAACCCCAAACCCCAAACCCCAAACCCCAAACCCCAAACCCCAAACCCCAAACCCCAAACCCCAAGCCGACAGGAGAAGTACTGCTCCCACGTGCGCATGCCGCAGCTGGGCGTGGGCTTCCGGGGAGCCGGGGCCCCGATGCACACCCACCACGCGGCCGTGAACGCCTCCTACGCGGGCCAGAAGCGATGGCCCCTCGGGAGGATTTAGGGTTTAGGGTTTAGGGTTTAGGGTTTAGGGCTTAGGGTTTAGGGTTTAGGGTTTAGGGTTTAGGGTTTAGGGTTTAGGGTTTAGGGTTTAGGGTCTAGCGTTTAGGGTTTAGGGCTAGAAGCCTGGACAGCCCCCCAGTACAGGCCATTTCCCGGGTACTTCATGCAGCATTTTATACTCGAACCAGAACTTTGAAACCCCAAGACCTCTTATAGCCCTGAAACTTCTAATTATCCGTGTGAACAGATGGAACCCGACAGCTTCGTGGTTTGGGGGGTCGGACTAGGGTTTAGGGTTTAGGGTATAGGGTTTAGGGGTTTCAGCGGGTTCCGGGCTTGGGGCTCGGCCTCGCATTGTCACGGATGGAGGTTGTCCCAAGTTGTTCCTTGGTTTCTAAAGTCTCGGCCTCGCTGGTGGGCCCTGGGCCCCAAACAAAAGCAAGGCAAGAACCTGACCCCTGTAACCCGAAATGCCCTCAACCTTACCAAACCCCTCAACCCTAAACCCTGCACCTCACAAATATAGGGATCCTTGCCTTTTCCGGGCAACAACAATAGCTAAGGGACTGAACCTTTAACCATTTTGGTGATATAGAAGCCTACCACATGTATATATATATATATGTACAAGGTTCACCTTGTTTGGGCTAGGGTATCCCTTAAGCCCGAAACCCGAAGCCCGAAACCCGAAGCCCGAAAACCCTGAAACTCTAGGACCAAAACATCGCCTGGCAGGTTCCTCATGCCACCGGAATCCGCCTCTTGGTCTCTGGATCCTGCCGGGACCTGGGAGCCTCGGATGCCCCCCCGTAAACCCAAGCAAGCAGGGGCCCCATGGTACCCTAAGTCCTAAACCCCAAACCCCGAAACCTTACAAAGCCTAAACCCTAAACCCTAAACCCTACACCCTACACCCTAAACCCTAAACCCTAAACCCTAAACCCTAAACCCTAAACCCTAAACCCTAAACCCTAAACCCTAAACCCCATTCCACCAAAAGGGGCCCCTTTCCTTTGTTTCGTTGCTTCGCTGAGGAGCGGACCCCAGAGTTCCAGGCGCTGCGCGAGTCGGGGAAGCTCCTGGAGGTGGTCCAGGAGCTTTATAAGGGTTTAGGGTTTAGGGTTTAGGTTTAGGGTTTAGGGTTTTAGGGTTTTAGGGTTTTAGGGTTTTAGGGTTTTAGGGTTTTAGGGTTTTAGGGTTTTAGGGTTTAAAGGTTTGGGGTTTCGGGTTTCGGGTTTAGGGTTCGAGGTTTGGGGTTTAGGGTTTGGGGTTTAGGGTTTGAGGTTTGGGGTTTAGGGTTTGGGGTTTGGGGTTTGGCCATCTAACACTTTTCTCCCATCCCACGCCGTCTGAGGCGGTGAAGCCACCCACCCTCTTCCTTTCTCGGTTTAGGCCTAAAGTCAACTCAATTAATTGGCTGCTTCCAAAGTACTTCCTCCGTCCAAGGGGTTGAGGGGCTTCCTTCACAAGCCCTGATTTAGGGCACCCCAGGACATTCAGCAATAATTTCCACAGGTTTTGATGGCAGAAATGACCCCGTGATTTTGTCGGTTTTGGGATATGTTAGAGCCTTGAGGCTCCAGGGTCCGAGGGTTTTGCCGCGGGTGAGGGATTTTGGGGGTGGTCGTCCCAGGAATGGGTCAAGGATCCTGGCTGCTCCCAAGCACCTCCAATACATACCCGTGTCCTTGTGTTGAATCCTATACCTGAAGGTTCATGGTACTTACTAACCAATTATAACTGGGCTTATAACCCTACTTATAATTGCCCCTATCAGGCCCTTTAGGGATACTATAAGTAGGGTTATAAGTACAGTTCTAATCGGTTAGTAAGTACCATGAACCTTCAAGTAGTCCCTGAGCCCGAAAACCTGAACACGCGCGCCAGGAATGTGGAGACATCCTCTTTGTGCCGGAGGGTTGGGGCCACGCCACGGTCCTTGACAGCTATGCTGCCGCTCGACCTTGGAACCCAAACCCTCAACCCCAAAGCCTAAGCCCCAAACCCCAAACCCCAAACACCCTAAACCCTATAAACCCTACACTGCCCGCTCTCTCGAACTCTGTCTGAAGAATTTTCGGATCAAGTTCCAAGCTAAGGTCACTTATATATATATATGTATGTATATGAAGAGAAAAGCTTTTCTCAGGCTTCTATCAAGGGTACGAACCCAAGTACTATGGATTGCAGAAGGACTGCCTCGGCGGTACACGAGGGTCCGGGGGGACTTTTGATCCCTTAGGTTGGTGTGGCGCAGGAGTTCGTGCCCTGGGCCAGCATCAATGGCGGCTTGCCGGTAACTTTGGGAAGTGGTTCTGCGGGCTTTTTTTTTTTTTTTCTATATTAGGGCTTATAGGGATTCAACGTTTAACAGTCGAGGGGTTATAGCACTTTTGGGGGGTTTAGGCTCAATAGGGGGCTTCCGGCGCCATAGACCCCAAGCCCTGGTAGTCTCGTCATTTCAAGGTTGAAGCGCACATGTAGACTGACGATTCCGTGCCGGGAGTCTGCCAAACGCCGATCTTGCGCAACCACGCATCGTGGCTTGACTTTAGGATTCAGGAGCCACGCCAGCTTTCATTCACGGTTCGCTGCAGGTGGTTTCTTGAGTTGAAGTTCCTGAAATCAGCTCTTTGATGTTCTGTCCCCTAAGCCCTATAAACCCTCAACCCTAAACCTAAGGTGCAACAGATGAATGCCCCGTGGGATCAGAGAGACTGGAACTGCGACCTCCCATAGAGCGATCTGGAACATGCCCATATGGCAGCTCTCTCTCCGCAGATGCCACGTCTGAAGGAGGCTGCAGGATTTGGTTTAGGGTTTAGGGTTTAGGGTTTAGGCTTGGTAGCTGAGTAGGGAACCTTTAATCTTTTGGGGTTTGCATCTTTTTTCGGCCCAGGGTACTCAGCAACTAAGTAGGGGGGTAAAGCAACCGAACCTCAACGCTGCTGAACCGGCGAGCTGCGATGGAAGACAAAAAGTCAGATCAGGGTCGTGTGACGAAGCGGGCCAAAATGCCACGATACTCTTTAGCGCTACACCTTGAACCCAAACTGTATAGGGTTGAGGGTTTAGGGTTTAGGGTTTAGGGTACGGAACGCAGCCCTGTCGAATTCTTGTGCCTGAGCGGCAGCTCGAATCCCGGAGCCGCGGCCCAATAAAGATGCAGAGACTCCAAACCCCAAAGCCCACACAGCCTAAAGCCCGGAAGCCCCAAACCCAACAACCTGAAACTCCAAACTTTAGTAGCCTAAACAAAGCCCGAACCCCCAAAGCCAGAAAGCCCCAAACCAAGCGCTCTAGACCCCTGAAGCGCTACCGTCGTCTCCTAAACCCCTTACTTAGGGTTTGAGGTTTGGGCACTCCGAAAAAATGACAAATATGAAGAATCAGAACCCTAAAGCCTTCACTAGAACAGTTGGGGGATTTGGGGTTTAGGGTTTAGGCTTTAGGGGTTAGGGAAGCCTAAACCCTAGACCCCCAACCATGCAGTCCAGCCCTGGTCGAATCGCCTTGGGGTTGAAGGTTTAGCCTACCCAACGCCCAGCGCTCATCGAAACCCCACCGCATAGGAACTTACGTAGCCCTCAGGGCCCTAAACCCTAAGCCCTAAACCCTAAACCCTAAACCCTATAGGGTCTCAGGGCTTCCGGGTTGTAGGGTTCATTACGGGCTATCCTTAAAAGTTTAGGGTCTAGGGTTTAGGGTATAGGGTTAGCTCTCATACGTAGTGTATGGTATAATCCTTCAAGCAATGTGGGAGTTTGCTCTCGAATTTACCCTCCCAAAATAGGATAGTAACATTCCTTGTTACAGGAGCCCCAACAAAGGCTACCCCTGTTAAAGGAAGCCGCTGTGCACCTTCATGAACCAAGAAGGGTCTCGTGGCTTTCCTAGACCCCAAAACCCTAAACCGAAGCCCTGATCCAGGGTTTTGGGCTTAGGTTTTAGGGTTTAGGGTTAACAAATCCCGAAAGGTGGCCGGATCAAGCAGGATGCGAGGCTCATCTGATGCCGGGGGCAGGGAAGTGACAAGCAGGTTCGGTGTCTTAGGTAAAATGTTGCAGGTTAAGGGTTCTTCACATGAATGTTTACTCATCATGTGACTAGCATCGTAAATTACGGCAACCTAAGATCCCAAACAAGCATGAATAAGCCCTAATGAGGAAGAATCATCGACATACACCGACTCACATCATAAGGAACCAAGGCCTAGTAGTAGAGCAGGTAACCTCTAACCTTTTTGGGCTAATAGAATCCCCTTTAAAATCCCAAAGGTTAACCTTTAGTTCCCCCAGGTTACTGGACAACCAAAAAGGGGGTGGAAGAAAGGGGGGTGGTGAGGGGGCATCCGATGCCCAAAATCCCAACCAAGCCGAAGCTTCCACCTGTATAGCCCACATCCCCTTGAGCCCTAAATTAGGTACCGAGAGTAGGGTTTGCTGGATATAGGGTTTAGGGCAGGGCTATTTGGGGTTTTGGGTTTAAAAGCCAAAACCCCAAATAGCCCTAAACCCTATATCCAGCAAACCCTACTCTCGGTACCTTCTGCTTGTTCAGCATGACCGTCAGCCTGCATGGCAGTGCTGGCGCGCAGGAGCATGCTGTGACGAGGAGGAGAACGATGGAGGAGGCCCGCCCCTAAGGGAGGGCACCCGAAGCCCAAGAGCTCCTCACCTTGACTGCCTCTGATGGCTACCTTGCTATGCTATGCCCAAAGGCTCCAATGTAGTTCCTGCTTGGGTTTGTTATAGAGGCTTATCGTATACTACCCCAAAAAGGTACTACATAGGAGCCTTTGGGTGTACATATCATGATGTGTGTGTGTGTGTGTGTGTTATAGGCGGTGTTGATATGGACATCGATATGCCAGGATGCCGGTCTGGACTGTCATTTCTGGGGTCCTTGTTGGTCATAATTTACATTTTTGTCCTATTAGACTCCCAAGAAGGAATAAACATAATATTTTTTAATATGACCCCAACAAGGAAGCATATTTTAGATTTTATAGGGTTTAGGGCTTTGGTTAGTTTAGGGTTATGGCCGGAAAGCTAGGGGGCTGTAGGAGGCTCCTCAGTTCTCCCAAACCAACTTTCAAAGAGGGAGTCGACTTCTCATGTGGCTCCCATCATACTTACTGTTTTGGATGCAACTCAAAAGTTTGAGTGGCCGCAGGCAGAGGGTTGAACAAGACTAGAAAGCGCCCTAAACCCTAATTTTCAAAGCCCGAAACCTAAACCCTAAATCCTGACCCACCATGCGAGAGCCGGTCGTTCCAGCAACAGGAGTTACTAACCAAAGGTCTTGCAGATCCTAAGCCCCTAAGCCCTAAATCCTGGGCGTGGGTTTAGGGTCCGGAGTTTGAGGCTCTGACAGCAGTGGGCGGCCCCGTCCGACTTGTCAGCGACGACCCAGGAGGCAAACAGCTCAACTCTGCAAACCCCAAAACACCTACATTGGGATGTTCCCCCTTATACTAGCAGTCCTTAATAGGGATGAAAGTACCCCTTATGAAGGACTGTTAGTGTAAGGGGGAACACGAAACCAGACACTGAATCTACCCAGAATCATGGCATGCTTTGGGGGGTTTTAGGGGTTGAGGCGTTTGTACGGTTGAGAGCTCTGCTACTATATTCTTGAGGATTACTTTACTTGCCTTTCGGGTTGAATTTGGGTTGCCCATAGGGACATTTGAGTTCAGGCTCTAGTTTTTGGAGCTGTTTAGGGTGCACGGTTACTACCGGCCAGTGGTTCAACAGAGCAAGGTCTAAACCGTCCTGCAATGAACCCCTAAACGCTAAACCCTGAACCCTAAACCTAAACCCTAAACCCTTAGCAAAACAAGAGAATTTAAAGCCTTCAGCCCCCTTAACCCTAAAGCCTCTAAACCCTGTAAATCCTATGAAGCCCCATAATCCCTGTAAACCCCATAACCCCATAAACCCTATATACCCTAAAACCCTATAAACCCTACAAGTCCTAAGCCTGAACCCTTCAGCCCGCCAGTCCTCTGTCGCGGAGGACCTGGGGCTGTGCTGAAGAGTGACGAGGCGCGCGCTGGCGCTATTTTCTTCCTGGTGCTTAAAAGGGCGTGGTGGATCTTCAAAAGACCCCCCCCCCCCCCTCCCCCCCTCCCCCCCCCTCCAAACACGCACACGCACACGCGCACACGCACACGCCCACGCACACGCCCACGCCGCACGCACACGCACCCACACGCACGCACACGCACCCACACGCACCCACACGCACGCACACGCACGCACACGCACGCACACGCACGCACACGCACGCACACGCACGCACACGCACCCACACGCACCCACACGCACCCACACGCACCCACACGCACCCACACGCACGCACACGCACCCACACGCACCCACACGCACCCACACGCACCCACACACACCCACCCACCCACCCACCCACCCACACACACACACACACACACACATACACACATACACACATACACACATACACACATACACACATACACACACACACACACACATACACACAAATACACACAAATACACACAAATACACACAAATACACACAATACACCCGCGCGCGCGCACGCGCACGCGCACACAATCTTGCACAACAGCGATACCGCAATCGCTCCAAGACACCACCTTAAACCGCAAGCACCGCAGCATACTCCTAAAGCACCCCCAATTCTGCTCCCTTGAGTCAAAGCCCCAAGCTTCGAACCCTACACCCCCAAACTCCAAACCCCAAAGGCCCGTGAGCAATGCAGTTCCCGTTTACTAAAGGGGAGCTTCTCACTTCTCAAGTAAATCATCTTGCAGCTCGGGCTAGGGTCCGGGGGAGAACCCTAAGTCCTGAACCTTAAACTGAAATATACCCATGGCCCTACGAACCTAAACCCTAAACCCTAAACACCAAACCCTAACCACGAACCTACACCCCCTCCCAGAGGCTGAACGGAGCACCTCTGAGGAGCTGTTGCCCCCCCACTTCTGCTGCCACGCAGTCAGGTGCCGACAGTGCGGGCTGCAGAGGATGGCAGTAGGCCAGGTGCGTCACAGTCTATAAACCCTAAACCCTAAAGCTGAACCCTAAACCCTAAACCCTACTTTAAAATAAGATGCCTCCATTGGTCAAAGGGTTTAGGGATGAGGCTGTAGGGGCGATGCAAATTTGATCATCGGAGAAGGACTTTCGAGTCAGCGGGCACAGAATCTCAGAATCTGGGGTTGAGGTTTTAGGGTTTGGAGTTTTTTTCATTTGGGGTGTTCTGTCAGCTGGCCCTAAAACAAAGGTTCCCGTGCTCAAGATTGCGATCATCATCGGGACCTTTCCCATTTCGGCAAGCATTCCAAGCGCGCCACATAACATAGGGGCCTGAATTTCAACAGGGTTTTGGGGGGTGATTATCGTATGGTTTTGAAGGGACCCTAAGAGAATACTATTCTGAACCTGAATCTCGGATTCAGATTG